AGATCAACCGTAATAATAATTTATTAAAAGGGCATGCCGCCTGACTTCCAGCAACTCAGGGCAGTTTAGAATGAATGCCATTTGTCCAAAATGGTATAGGGCAGTGATGGTGAACCTTTTAGAGACCGAGTGTCCCAAAACTGGCCCTGCCCCTGCTCCACACCCCTGCTCTGCCCCCCCATTCCCTGCCCTGCCTGCCCACAGGACTATTCACTGCCTCCAGGGACCGCTGCAGATCACCCAGGCAGCCCAGCAGCGCTATGGCGACCACACCCTTTGCCCGTGCCCTGCAGCATCAACTGCATGATGGGGTGTGAGGGCAGAGTCTTGTCTACGCTGCCTGGCTGCCATGTCCTTGGCTGCTCTGCTCTGTGTGGGCCACTCTCCTTCAGGGGGCGACTCTCCTTCAGGGGGGCTGCTGGAGAGGAGGGGGTCACAGGGGGAGGCAAGGCTGGGGCAACGGCAAGTGTGCCCACAGAGAGAGCTCCGAGTGCCGCCTCTGGCACCCATGCCATAGGCTCGCCACCACTGGTATAGGGTTTCGTGCCTGAGCAGGGGGTTGGACTAGATGACCTCCAAGGTCCCTTCCAACTTTATTATTATTATTATTAATGTGACATAAAAAAAGTCTAACTTCCAGAGGTATCCTTTTCTTAATGTCTTTTGAGTATTTTTGTCATTACATAAAGACCTTCTCATTTTACCCACTGTTACACTACAGGGAGTCCTCGACTTACAGCAGTTCATTTGAAGTTACAACGGTACTGAAAAACATGACTTAATTACTATTTTTCACATGACTGTTGCAGCATCCCCCTCAGTCATGTGATCCAAATTCAGACCTTTGGCAACTGACTCGTGCTTACGACGGTTGCAGTGTCCTGAAGTCATGTGGTCACCTTTTTTGTGACTTTCTGTAGAGCAAAGTCAACAGGGAAGCCAGAAACCGTGGTACTAACTTATCAACTGCAGCGATTCACTTAACAAATATGGCAAGAAAGGTCGTAAAATGGGGCAAAACTTAACAAATATCTCACTTAGCAGCATAGAGTTGGGGCTTAACTGTGGTCGTAAGTCAAGGACTACCTGTAATGTGCCCTTCATGGTTTTGTGGAGGGTCGTCTTCTTGTAGTTGTGGTCATTGTTGCTGTTGTTGTTTTGCAGGTTAGGACTGCTTTTGTCTTGCCTGTCGTCCAGACAATTTGTGTACAGGGTAAGCTTCTCTTGAACTGGGTTCACTTCTGATGAGGTCATGGAAAAGCTTTCTTAGTGATTGTGCCAACAATGTAGACGTGGCTCACCATTGATCCCTTCTGGAATGTGGTTTTGACTTCTCCATCTCGCCAGCAGTCCTGGAATTATGTGGCAGTCTCCAATCCATGTACTAATCCTAGGGAACCCCGCTTAAGTTTTTGGAAATCTGTCAAACTTGACTAGGTGCCCCAATCAATCAGAATAAAGCTGGAAGGGACCTTGGAGGTCTTCTACTGCAACCCTCTGCTAAGCAGAAGACCCTATGCCAGACATGTCAAACACAAGGCCCAGGGCTGGATGCAGCCCGCAAAGTGATTTCATGTGGCCCGCGAAGCCATCCTGGAAACAGTGAGGGAACGGCCCCCGCTGCCTTGGCCCTGACCCAGGCCGGACGGGAGCCAATGTACAATTTTGTGGTGGCCATCTATGCTGAAACACATTCAGTCTTAGCTCCACAAGGCCGTCCAGAAACAGCGAGGAACCAGCCCCTGCCACATCGGCCCTGCCCCCTGGGTGCATGCTGGGGAGGTGTCACCCTTTGTGAGGAATGAAGAAATGCACCATCGCCTGGAAGTGGCCAGCAAATGGTCCTCGCCTACTTCACCTATCTGGCTTGATGGGCTCTGGGGGAGGGGTTTCGGCAGGCTCTTCCAGTGGACCATGGCTTGGCGTTTGCCCTGGTCCCACCCCCTTCTGCCAGAGACCCTCAGATCTGTCCCACTCCTGCCCAGGCCCCCACAGGCACCCTTGACGCAAACGATGTAGAGCTGGCCATGCCCACCCAGTAGGCCACACCCACTCCAGCCATGCCCATCCAGTAGGCCCCGCCCAGGCTGGCCACAGCTACCCGCCCCCCCTGAGGACAACCACAGTGCTGATGTGGCCCTCAATGAAATTGAGTTTGACACCCCTGCCCTATGCCATTTCAGACAGGTGACTGTCCAGTCTCTTAAAAACTGTCCAGTGATGAAGCACCCACAACTTCTGATGGCAAACTGTCCCACCGGTTAATTGTTCTCACCGTTAGGAAGTTTCTCCTTAATTCCAGGTTGCTTCTCTCTTTGATTAGTTTCCATCCATTGTTTCTTGTTCTGCCCTTTGTGCTTCGGAAAATAAGTTGACCTCCTTCCTCTTTGTGGTAACCTCTCAGCCCCAGTTGGGACAATTTGCATTATACCAATAAAAGAGAATATTTGTAGCTCAGGGTTGTTTTCTTGCGGACGTTTCATTACCAAACTAGGTAACATCATCCGTGCATAGTTTGGTAATGAAACATCGGCAAGGAAAGCATCAAGCTCAGAGAACACCAAGGACTCTGATTTGCATTATGGGATGACTATCTATGGGGGAGGGGGTCATTGAACAAATGAAAACTGCAAAAGTCAGCACAACAATGACTTGAGCCGAGGTGGCGCAGCAGTTAGAGTGTAGTACTGTAGGCCACTTTAGCTGACTGTGTTCAGCAGGTCAGCGGTTCAAATCTCACTGGCTCAAGGTTGACTCAGGCTTCCATCCTTCCGGGGTAGGTAAAATGAGGACCCAGATTGTTGGGGGCAATGTAAATATATATATATATACATTGCTTACTGATGTACACCGCTTAGAGAGTGCTTGCACTTAAAGCGGTATATAAGTCTCATAAATAAATAAATAATAAACAAGCCTGCATTGAGCTGGGCTAAAGCAATTTTTCCTATTAATCTTGCACACTTCTCTTCCGCAGAGATGAAAAATAGCAAGCTATAGTGCCCTTTAGCTAGTAGGGTTATCATCAGTTAAAGAAATATTGTTCGGGGTCTCTCTGACTTCTCCACCCTGATAATCTCAGATGGATGTCAAGGTTTTGCAGCAGTCATCCAAGTAGGGGGACCCACAGCATGTGGCTAAGGAAAGTTAAGACAGTGGCTATGGGATATGATCAAAGCTCTGCCTGGTTTTGTTTAGACATCACACCCATGATCTACGTGAAAATGGGCAGAGCTTCGGAGATACCTTCCTGATCAACATCTGGAGCTTTTTGGCCCACGACTGAAGACACTCCTACATCTTGGTTTGCCTTAAACTGACATCTGGCAAATATACTTTGATTGGAGTTTCATACCACCTTAGTGAAAAAATTGGTTGAAGATAGAATGCGGACACCTGCACGGGAAATGCATTGGACAGAAACCAATCAAAGAGAGGAGCAACCTAGAACTTATGAGAAATTTCCTGACAGTGAACCATGAATCAGTGGAACGACTTGCCTCCAGAAGTTGTGGGTGCTCCATTTGTCTGAAATGGTATATGGTTTCCTGCTTGAGCAGGGGGTTGGACTAGAAGATCTCTAAGGTCCCTTCTGTTATTCTCTTACCTCCAATCTAAAGGACAGAGCCTGAGTCAATTGGTTTCCCCCAAATACAAAGTCTACAGGTAGTCCTCAATTTACAACAGTTCATTTAGTGACCGTTCAAAGTTACAACGGCACTGAAAAAAGTGAGTTAGTTTTCCACACTTATGACCATTGCAGCCTCCCTATAGTCACATGATCAAAATTTAGACGCTTGGCAACGGGCTCAAGTGAAGAATCACTTAATATCTGAGTCACTGAGTCACTGAGCAACTGAACAACTGCAGCGATTCACTTAACAACTGTGGCAAGAAAAGCTGCAAAATAGAGCAAAATTCACTTAACAAATTACTCACTTAGCAACAGACATTTTGGGTTCTGTTGTGGTCATAAATCAAGGACTACCTGTACTGTATTACATTTATGCAACACAATCTGACTACTGGATTAGCTCACTCCCTGATGTTTGAAATAAAACCCATAAAATGGGTAGAGGTTGAACTCACAAGTTGCCTGATCAAAGTTAAGAGTGATCTTACTATGTGGCACAAAGGCCTAACTCATATAGCCCCAGAGTCTATGGTGCTATATTAATTTTTGACCCCAACTTGTACTGTTTTGAGAATCAACTTATTATTTAAAGTCAGATGCTTTTATTTCCCTTAATCTATTTCTTAAGAGAATAGAAAGCCAAGCTGTTCTCCAGCACACATAGGGATTGAGTGGGTAGAAAGCTGTAAAAGGATGCTTTCGTTTGAAATTAGTAGTGGGACATTCAGGAAAGATGTCCACCCTCCAGATATATTGAGAAGACAATCCTAGACAGGTGGCTGCTTAGATCACCCTATGCACTGCCCAGCTTTTATCAATCAGAATAGAGCTGGAAGGGACCTTGGTGGTCATCTAGTCCAACTGCCTGCTCATGCAGGAGACCCTATACCATTTGAGACAAGTGGCTGTCCAGTCTCTTCCAGTGATGAAGCACCCACCACTTCATCAAGCTGTTCCTCGGGTTAATTGTTCTCACTGTTAGGAAGTTTCTCCTTAATTCCAGGTGGCTTCTCTCCTTGATTAGTTTCCACCCATTGTTTCAGCCAGATCATCAATAACCATTCATGATTACTAGTGAAAATGGACAGGGCTCAAAAGGTTTCTGAACTGCTCCTATAAAAGTGTGCGCAAGTTAAGGCATTCAGATATCTCTCCAAACTCCTGAATATGAAAAAAGAAAAAAAAAAAGTTCTCACTTCAAGGAACCACTTCCCAGGGTACCCACTGCACATATTTTTCCAAGGTATATTTTTACAATAAGGTCCCAAAACTTCTTCTCTACAAACCATATGCTAAAGGCAGCCCCTGTTCAATACCGGAAGCAATCTGGGTTAAAAATCATCCCTCAACCAGTAGCAGTACTCACGTCCAATGGGTGCATCCTTTCCACAATCTTCTCTCTTTTCCCCCCAGTCCTCTCTCTTTTTTCTCAGTTGCTCTCCGTTTCGTTTTCTTCTGCCTCCTGGATTTGTGCAGCTTTGTCCTTCTTTGAAGTCATGCTAGGAAATGCAGCAGAGATAGCAAGGAGGAGAAGTGTGGGTAGATCTGCACAGACAATAAGCCATTTTTTTTTCTTTTTCGCATTTCGGTCCGACCTGCTCTTCCAGTTTGCATTTCTTTAACCCAGCAGCTGAAAGGAGGTTCAGCGGAGCTGAGGCTGCCAAACCAGTCTCGCTATAATACAAAGAAGTGGTCAGACAAGTCCTTCACAAAGTCCACATAGAGATTTGATTGTTTTCCCATAATTATAGCTCAGTGTTGTTGATCAAAGACGCTCACCTTAACAAAACAATTGCTACTTCCTCTCCCCCCCCCCAGCTCCTTGCTCCCCTTCAGTCATTGAACAGCATCAGAAGCATGGTTTCCTTTGACAATTTCAATTTATATATATATAAATTTATATGTAGGTCTTTGGTTATTCGGGTTTTCTCCTGCGTAAAATTGGAAGTGTCTTGGTGACGTTTCGATGAAGTCCCATTCGTCATCTTCAGGCTGGTGCTTTCGGCTTCGTGCTTCTAGGAGCAATGAATAAATTTATATAAACACCAGCCTGAAGATGACGAATGGGACTTCGTCGAAACGTCGCCAAGGCACTTCCAATTTTACGCGGGAGAAAACCTGAACAACCAAAGACCTACATACAAACACCCGCGAAAACTTCAGAAAACATATATATATATATATATTATATATATATATATATATATATATATATATATATATATATATATATATATCTGGCTGATGAGAGCTAAGGAGCTTGAAATAGCTATACCAGACCAGCTTCCCTTTAACTCTTTGTTAGTAATCCAAATTTAACACACACACACACACACACACACACACACACAGCATAACGTTGGCCTATTCAGTTGGACTACTTCCTCAATTTTTCATATTTAGGAAATAATTCTAAATGAGCACTGCAGGAAAGTTGTTTGATGCTTAGCATTGCCAATTGTCAGTTTTTCTTTCATTATTTTGAGGCCCCCCTTTCCCCCCGGCCACAGATTTGGAGAAGAAAAATTCTCAAGCAATAAAACCACCCCTAAACGAAACAAAACTTCTTTTACAAATACAGGTGGTCCTCGACTTACGACAGTTTGTTTAGTGATCGTTCAAAGTTACCAGGGCACTGAGAAAAGTGACTTCTGATTGTTTTTCATGCTTACGACCAGGTTACTAACTTAAGATTTGCAGTGATTCACTTAACGAACGTGGCAAAAAAGGCCATAAAATGGGGGAAATCTCACTTAACAAATGTCTCACTTGGCCACAGAAATTTTTGGCTCAGTTGTGGGAGTAAGTCGAGGAGTATAAAAAAACTCATTGAAAACCAACCTTCCTTCCTTCCTTCCTTCCTTCCTTCCTTCCTTCCTTCCTTCCTTCCTTCCTTCCTTCCTTCCTTCCTTCCTTCCTTCCCTCTCCCTGTCCCATCTCCTTCCTTCCTTCCTCCCCATCCCATCTCCTTCCTTCCTTCCCTCTCCCTGTCCCATCTCCTTCCTTCCTTCCTTCCTTCCTTCCTTCCTTCCTTCCTTCCTTCCTTCCTTCCTTCCTTCCTTCCTTCCTTCCTTCCTTCCTTCCTTCTCCCTCCCTCCCTCCCTCCCTCCCTCCCTCCCTCCCTCTATCTCCTTCCTTCCTACATAGTGACCATCAATGAGGTGACTTTCCCTGACATAACTTCATCTTTCACCTCCAGAGCCTTTCGGAAGACCTTCAGGCAAGGGGAGAGGGGTCTGAATGTCCTCTATTGTCTTTTGTTGTTGAAGTAAATGGCCCGGTAAATAGGAGACGGTGAGAAAACACCAGCTAGTTTCACTCCCTTGAATGAAAAGTATTGATTTCTCTGAGGGTTTCAAACAGTGAGACATACTTTGGATCATGCCCTCAGGGCAATGGCTCCTATTCTTTCACCTCAGACACATCTTGTTCATAAACTGCCTTTAAAAAAAGAAAGAAAAAAAGAATGACAGTATTCTTCTCTTCAGGAAGGATAGTTAAGAGTTTTGGCAGTTTGACCTTCACTGGCTTTGTTTGTTTTGAAAAATCTCAGCAATAAAGCCACATCAAAGTGGCTGTGGCATCGGGCCTGGTAGCCAATGTCTAGTCTATGTGGATTCCTGTTTGGTTGGGATCGTTCTGGAAAGGAGTGCCAGACTCTACAAGGCAGACCAAACCAGAAAATCAACTCCTTTGGAAGACCAGAACTGTACTTTAGGGAAGTAGCCTGGCTATAATAATAAAATCTTGCAAGAGTGATGGTGCTCAATCTCCCCTCCCTCTTATATCCCACTGAGCCAGGGAGGTTTTGTCTGAATCACCTCCAAACATTATGTCTATGGAAATTCTCAGTCATCCAGGTCAGTGGTTTTTAACCTTTTTGAACGAATCGCCCCCTTGAGCCAATGAGGAAGTTGTCATCGCCCCCCTCCCCCAACATAACCTCTCAATCACAACTTAGGAAATAATTCTTCAATTTATGCAAACATTTGTTTTGTTTTCTTTAAAATTGTCATCAGGACATATCGATGCAAATAATTTATTTCCAGTCTTTTTCCCATATCTCAACTGGGTGAAAATTTTGGTGCCACCCGTCACTTTGTTCCCAAACTTCGTGATACATGTATTTCATTATTATCTTAGTTATTCAAGACTCTTAAATGTAATGACCATTGAAAACAAAATTCAATTGCGAGAAAGTGAAATGCCCGAAAAGAAAAACAGTAATATTTAATGATTGAATTACAAGTGAAATTTAAGACGCAAAAAGAAATATAAAAAGGGTAGAGGCTGCTGCGCAACGCACATGAAGATAAGCGATGCATATTCACATATGTACGGCGTTCTGTACTGAAGCTAGCTGGAGGAACATTTGAAAACACAATTCAATCCACTAATAGCGAGCGATCTGATGTTTTTGTATGACAGATATACAGCGATTCACTGTACGAAAAAGTCTCAAAAGTGTCCTCAAAACCTCTTGCTCCATCGCCCCCATATCACCCCCTTTTTATTCCTTCACCCCCACGTCGCCCCTTTTTGTTCCATCGCCCCCCTGAAATGAAATCGCCCCCTGGGGGGTGATATCACCCAGGTTAAGAACCACTGATCCAGGTTATGGTTGTCCCATAGATGTGAAGAAAAGTCTTCATCATGGTTCAGTCCAAGCCGGGGATAAACAATATAGCGACTGCTTTAGAAAGAAGGTTACAGTTTATTGAAAAGGAGAACCAGACAGGAGGATGGCTGGCAGAAAAGGAACTAGCATATGTAGGGAATGGGTTTTTATACCCTCTGGAGCCTTTTGTTTGGAGTTATTTCCTGTTCCTGTTTTGAGGCTATTTCCTGTGTCATGTATTCTGACCTGAATCTGGGTGTGCCCTTTGGCCTTTGTGAGTTAATCCTAAAATGTCCTATCTCAGGTGGGGTATGCAGATTTTAGGTCTTTGTCTTCTTAATGTTCCAGCTGGGGACCTGCAACCTTCCTGGATTATTTACATCTGCATTTGTACAGAGCTGGCCTCTGCTTGGGGGAGGGAGACCAAGGGCTATTAGGAAAACTGGGCATACTTTCCTGCCTCTTCCAGATCCTTTGAGGAAATATATTTCCTGCCCTTTTAATATTTCCTTCTCTGGGGGGGCTGACTTCCCACAGGTGCTTTTTCAAAAGGCAACTGGACTTTGTTTTTCCTTGAAGACGTTTCGCTTCTCATCTAAGAAGGTTCTTCTTAAGAGCTGAAGAAGCTTCTTAGATGAGAAACGAAACATCTTCAAGAAAAAACGAAGTCCGGCTGCCTTTTGAAAAAGCACCTTTGGGAATCCGAAGACGATCTTAAAAGAACATTTCAGCTCTCTTTTTGGGGGGAGTGGTTCTTGCATATTTCTGTCAAGATCATCTCCCTTACTGTCTACAAGGAGTAGCGAATTGTGGGGCCCTGGGTGCTCTCTGCATTTGGAGGGGGTTTTTTTTGCAGATGTTTCGTTGCCAAACCAGGGAACGTCATCAGTGCTCCACTGATGATGTACCTAGTTTAGTAATGAAATGTCTGTAAGAAACCCACCAAGCTCAGAGAGCATCAAGGACTCCAAGGAGCTGAAGGGGCTGTAAATATTTTCTTCTATGAGTACAGAGTTCTCACAAAGAGGAGAAATAGATATAGAATTGACAGATGGGGAAAAGAGACAAAGAATGGACCTTGGTGGTGGATGAAATATCAACCAGTGCTATGACAGTGTTCTCTCTCTCTCTGTCTCTCTCTGTGTCTCCCTCCTTCCCTCCCTCCCCCCCTCTCTCTCACACACACACATAGATGTATCACTTTCCTTTGATTATTTAAGGTATGGAGCACATTCTCCCAGATACTTGCCTGACTTGCAGAATGAGTGATCAAAGTAGATTACATGTTAACTCCCATAATGTTTGGCTGGCATTTTGAGACTTGCCTGTCCTTGCCCTCTTTCTTCACTGGGTAAAAAACAAAATAAAAAACCCAGTTCTTTTCACTTGATACCAAACTATAAAATTTTGCACTCCTTTTAGAATTCTGAACACAATCGCAGAACAGATGTGTGACCCGTTGCTAAAGGAAATTCGGGAGACAGTAGACAGTTTTGAGGGCACAGGGGAATCTGCAGGGTTTGGCTGAGATGGAGGCCATTGAAGCTCTGCCTGCTTTTTAAGGTGCAGCCATCCATCTTGACTTTTTTGGGCCATGCCTTGCACTTCCCCTGCGTTAGAAAGGCAAGCCTCAATGAGATGACAGAATTCCAAACTCAGGTTTAAAACATGACATAATATATTAGAGTTATTGATCATGTCCCAAAGGTGCTTTTTCCCTTGTTTTTCCTTGAAGACTTTTCTCTTCAGATCCAAGAAGCTTCTTCAGTTCTGGCTGAACGGTGGAGAATGGAAAGATTTATATTCCTTGCAGTCATCTCATCATCTGGATGACTGAGGGTCTCCATAGACGGTTTCTGATCATATTGCCAATTACAGTTATAGATAGCTCTCAACCTACAACCGTTCGTTTAGTGGCCTTTTTTGCAGTTACGATAGCACTGAAAAAGTGACTTAGGACCAGTTGCACTTACAACTCTCACAGCATCCCTGTGG